TTTTGTATGACACTATATAGTGCGAAATAGGAAGGGATATATACTTGTGAACAAGTATGAGATGTTGTCAATCAAACAATTCTATCTATCAATAAAAATGTCCATCAACACATCAATGAACCCATCTAATTATATCGGTCAATCTATCAATATTTTATCAATCATTGTATTAAACCATACACTTACTAATGAATCAATCCATCCATCAATCAAACAATAGACATATTTAGCGTTCAATCGATCATTAAATAAATCAATTAATCAAATATTAAAAATGCACTCTATTAATTAATCTTTATAACAATCAATTGCTGTATCCATTTATAGTCTATAAATATATTTAAAAAAAAAATTAAGTCACATCTTATAAAACGAAAGAAATAAATTAAACTATGTTTTAAATCGAGCAGGTTCTAATTCAATATAGTTCAATCATTTTGCCAACATTTGTCCGTTACGAATCTGATATACCCAGTCCGATTTAACTTCAAAAACAGTTTGTATTCATCAGGCATATGATGTCTTTTTGTATAATTAAATGTAACGTTCTCATAATAATGGTGAGGTACCGGCCTTCCACTTGCTGTTTCTTGAAATGGGAAAAAACCATACATTGAAATTTTACTACAGACAGCGCCCGCTACAGTGTACAATATAAGACCACTAGAGACACTTGAAATGTTCCAGAAACTGCAAAACAATTGTCATACATATACATTATAATATGTTTTAATGTTGAACGAACATACTAAACATACTATATTAAAGACTAAACTAATAACATCATTAACAACAAAAACAATAGTGCAACAGTAATAATGATAATAAATAATAAAAAACAACATAACAAAGGCAAAAATAATAACAATAATAATAATAATATTAATAATAATAAAATAATAATAATAATAATAATAATAATAATAATAATAATAATAATAATAATAATAATAATAATACTAAACAATCACATCATCGTCATCACTATAGTCCCCGTCATGGTCTTTTTCGGTATCCAACTAGTTTTCCGCGAAACCCAGTTTGCCGAATGCAACTTTACCGGCCCAAAAACTATTAAAACCAAGTTTACCGAATTTCGACCCACTGTACTAAAACAGTTTGTCGGAATTCCTATTCACCATCGTGGCTAAAAGTGCCTTGATCCACTGTTGAAGGAGTGCGCATCGTTTGACGGTGTTGAAGATAAAGTAAGGAAGAGTTTTAGATGGCAAAGAAGATAAAATTAGGTGACTTTAACTACTTTAGTGTAGAACAACTGCGCTCTTATACCCACTAAATAAAGCATGTAAATCCCTGACAAACGGTAGAACAAAACAAATAAAAAATAAATTAAAAAAAGTGGCCATGGGACCCCTCTGGAAATAAATCCTGTGTTGGGATTAAGAGGTCTACCCCAGATATCATCAACGATGACTCGCATTCTTATTTGTGTTTTGTTTATTTCTATTATGTATATCCGGTTTTTGTGGTGTTGTTGAGTTGTTTTCGAATAAATCAAATCAAACAAAATAACAATGCGATCAATGAAATAAACGTGTGACAAAATCAGAAGCCATTAATTAGAACCCAGATAAAACTGTGGTAAAATATGACGACATATCACAGGCATGAGACACGGGATTAAAGTCAGAAAGTAAAATACAGACACGCTATTAAGGAAATGGATACAAGTAATATGGTAGATTATATTTATGAAATTTGGGTGGTAGATAGAATATTGGAGAACAATCTTTGTATAGACGAATCCAAGAGAAACTTTTTCGAACGTCGCCCTCTTTTGTCGACGCCATTACCGGGGTGGCATTTCCGAAATGGAAGATGTTTAAATACACGAATGATAAATGTTTAGTTTGAAGACTGACGGCACTATTCAACTGCAAAATATAAAGCCGGATTTCTCAATGGTACCGGTACTGTGTTTATAACCACACCGCATTGACATTCTAGGAGTAGGCCTAGGTGTAGGACGAATCCCGGACACCCCAGTAATGGTGTCGGCAACGGAGGGCGCCATTCTTCTTTGACTCGTCTATATAGAATTTGGATATAGGCCTAAGGCCTACGTAACCGCCGGTAAGTTTGGCTAACACCTTAAGGAATATGATGCGAGTGTTCTATAGTGAACTTACGTTGTTGTTAATTGATGTTACTTTTATATTTACTGTCAAATTGAGATTGGGCAAACTGGGTTTCACAATATTTGACTTTGGAAACTTGGTAGGCCTATTCAGCAATCTGGGTTTCGGCAAGAGGAGTCGGAAATCTAGGATTCGGCAAAGGATTTCGGCAATCTGGCCTTGAACCTTCTCATTATTTTCATGGCCATCCTTATATTCTTACCGTCCAACACGTCGAGGCATACCAAACGCTGGATACGATACGTCAGTCTTCAATCCTTGCTTAAGTATCGTGTCAGTAAAGGAAACGTATGCACTGGATTTCACAACTCCGTACTTGGAAAACCATATTATAGAACCATTGAATTCTTTCATCAAGTCAAGCGCAACCTGTCGACATTTGTATTTACTTCGAAAGAGACAATTTTCTAAAATTGTTGCTTTATTACTGTTTAGGGTTGTCAGATTAGTCTTGACACCAACATCATCTTCAAAGCCAATTGTCGGCGCCATGTTTGATCTCATAACGAAGTCATGCGAGTCGATCTCTTTTCCACATCGACTGCCCCGCAAAATACCGGAATTTCCCAAAACAGCACATGTATTATAAAATCTTAAAAATTTCTTCGGCTTGTAGGTTTTTGGAAATTTTCGAGGAAATTGAATTTTAGTTTCATTACCAATAGGTTTTTCATAAATTATAACTGTTCGGTTTGAAGAAAACCCCTTCTTCTTTAATAATGCACTGAAAATAATAATAATAAAAAAAACATGATTAAAGGAAATGTGTGTTTATTGTTTTTTAATCATTCAACAAATACATAGTTATATAAATAATTTATTTTAAATATTTAGTTACAACACAAGTCGGTGTAAATCTGATTTGATTTTAATTACTTGAGATTGGCGCATTGGCTTCCAATACATCATCCATATCAGTAACGTAAAATAATGATATACAAAACGTTTTTAGCATCTTGAAGTACACCGAATTTTTATTATGCCTGTAAAGTAAATAATCTATTTACTAATTACAGTGAACAGAACAAAACACTTATACCCGATTCACACGTACAAAAATCTTACCAAATGTAACCAAATATAACCAAAAGTAACATTTTACGGCACGTCTCTGTAATCTTTACCAGCCTCAGCGAACGAATCACAGTGAACACTTTAGTGGAGATGTGCGCTTAATAAATCTTATTATTATTATTATTATTATTAAAACACTTATACCCGATTCACACGTACAAAAATCTTACCAAATATAACCAAATAATATAACCAAAAGTAATGTTTACGGCACGTCTCGATAATCTTTACCAGCCTCAGCGAGGGTGGTAAAGCTTCCGAGATATAGCATTGATGGGGGTTGTCAAATAGGCTGAGCTCGACTTTGTAGTTATCGGTGTTTCATTTTGGTAAAACGTATAGCATTCTTCCTCAATCGTGTTTCAAGGCGGTGGCAATTTTCTTTTTTAAAAAAGCTCACCCACCTACCCTTCCCATACTTATGTGTCAGGTAGGCGTTTTATTTTCGCCAACCTTGTATGTTAACACCCCTGGTCCAATTTTGGGGTTATTATACGCGGTGATCTTTTATTAGCACTGTCCATATGTCACTCTTGTGGCACATGGCCACAAATTTTCAGTGATTTTGATTACTAACAACTTCATTCCACTTACACCCTCAATTTTAATATTACTAATTAATTTCTCATTATCTAATTTAGTTTAACTAAATGAAATATCATTTTTTTTAAATATATTTTTGGGGGTGCAATGTCATGTCGTTATCATCAGACCATTTAGAAAGTATACTTAACGTTTCTTGAAAATTGCTATTTGATCATTTGCGATAAACTTCAGCCTGATTCAAATCATTGACGTATTTCAAACGATTGCTATAATCAGTTAGCTTGTCATTTACTAGAACTTGGAATATTACTAGGGCCCAGTTTCGTGCCCTGAGACACGCCGCATGTTGTATTTTGCCAATCTAACAGCCCATTGTATAAAACGAGCTGCTTCCGCCGAGATAAAAATTTACCAATCCATTGTATCAAAGATTCCTGCACACAACTAATGTCTATTAGTTTTGGAATTGCAATGGTGCAATCTATAAGATCAATCGCCTTTTTGACGTCCACGTTAATAACAGTAGCTCTATAATTGCTAGAATCTAGACCTTGATGTATGAAGTGCAACAAGCTGTTAAATAGTGATTTGTTGAGGCTTTTTTTTTGTTACCAAATTGTCTCATATCAAGCTTGGGAGCTATGGCATCTGTAATTACTCTTGAGAAGGGTGGCGTGATTGAAATTGGGCTAATCTGACTTATGGTAATTGCATCCTTTGCCTTTTGTAGTGGGGTGATTATGTCTTCTTCCTCCTTGACGGAATTGCAGCCTGTAAAAATGATGCATTACAGATGTCGGAAAGAGGAATAGCTACCTCGAATGCAAACTTACTTATAAGACAGGGTGGCAAATCTTCAAGTGCTACTGTCCTGATGTCTTAACTTTAACACTTTTCAATTGATAACATACTTCCAAAAAAGACAATGCTAGAGGTGGTGCTTTACAGGTAGGTACGCAGGTATTTCATCCGATTTTAAAGGTTCAAAATGTTGACAGATTTGTTAAAATGTACATTTATCATATCACGTACAATGCTGTGGTCATTTTCTTTAATAGATAAATTTAATTATATTCTTTTGTTTCAACATATTTCACCAACTTTTTGGAACCATTGCTTTGAATTGGCATTCTGGACCTGGTCAAATTCATATTTACCATAATTTAACTTCTTTGATTTCCCGTATAATCGTATTTCTAAGCACCTTAAGGCAGGCTCAGGTCGACACGGAATTGAAAGGAACTCAACTCAACTCAACTCAACTGGTCGACGTGAGCGCTCCGCGCAACTGAAAGGAACTGAACGCAACTGAAAGGAACTGAACTCATGTCGACTTTGAGCAACTGAATGGAACTGAAAGGAACTTGGCTCATGTCGACTGGCAACTGAAAGGAACTATTGGCTAAAAACATTTTCCCCGCGAAATTCCATCAACTGCAAAATGTCTGTAATGTTTTTATTAAAAAAGTGTATCTACTTTATTTTTTTGTTTTGGAAATTGTCAACCGGCAACTGAAACAAATGTTGCCTGTTTGATTAGTCGACAGAATTGAGTTTTTAAAGATTTCATTTTCTCCGAAGTCTCATCAACTGCAAATAAATGTTTGAATGCTTGTAAGATTAGACGTGTGGTTAAAAATAATAAAATCATTTTTGAAGTTTATCTACTCTTTTTTTTTTATTAAGAAAAGTGTATCGGATATTGGTCTATTTGAAATGGGTTCATGCAAAATCTGGTGGAACAATTAAAACAATAAAGGTCTTTTTCTATATGAAAAAAACAAAAACAAAAACAAAAACAACAAGTATACACGAATGCATTTTATACGGGACAATGTTTACATGAATCAGCTGTCAAATATGTTATAAAAATGTAATAATTTAATATTACGCGAATGCAGCAGCATACTTTTGATAGAATTCGTAATTTAACGCTACACTGCAGAGGGAATTTCTGAAAAAGGAATTTAGCTTTTCTTGACCTAGGCCTAAGCCAGACCCTAGATAAATGTTCTACTGTTAAAGAATTTGTACAAAACTAACTTCATAAACAATGCACACTCCCAAGAATTACTGGATTATTTATAATTCGTAAAAATGGATTTTGGAAGTGAGATCTGCATGCCAGTTAGTTGTCAAGTCTTTACTCTTCGTACGTAGAGTTTAGACGTAGGCTAGGAGGCCTGGCATAGGAAGCCTGCCTTTTTTCTACACTCTAGGCCTAGCCTAGGCTAGCTAGAATATGGTAATTATATGCTGTATTATTATTATTATTATTATTATTATTATTATTAGGCCTAGCCTAAGCCTATTTGTTAATGTGTTAGAATAAAAATCTGGCCTATGGCCTATATTTTTTAAAACAAAGAATAAAGTAATCTGCCATTAACAAAACATTGTAAAATAATATCTTTTTTCAGTTAATGCATCTTGATTACGATTAATATAAGGATCAACGTTTTCAGTTCCTTTGAGTTCCGAATCAGCATTTTTTTCGCGCTTTTTTCAGTTCCCTTCAGGTCCGCAAAAAGTTGAACATGGGCAACTGAAAGGAGCTCAACTCAAGTCTTTACTCTTCGTACGTAGAGTTTAGACGTAGGCTAGTAGGCCTGGCATAGGAAGCCTGCCTTTTTTCTACACTCTAGGCCTAGCCTAGGCTAG